AACCTAAAGATATTTGGGCATACTGTACAAAAATCATCTTAAGTTAATAAAATTAAATAAAAACATGGCACTCAATAGGATACAATAGAGAAAAAGGATTCATGTAGTCGCCCCACCTAGAGGGATAAAGACTTGTAGTTGATGTTTATGTTGTTGTATCTTAGTAGTATTGTATACATTGTGCCACTATAGATAAGGCATGAGCATAATTATATGCCCTCCTCCATATGCACTAATATAAATAAAGAATGGGCAGTTATTACATTATATGTAAATATTACATAAATTATTGAATTTTTTTTCAAAATGTCAAATAACATATATTACTGCAAACTTGGAAACATCTTTTATGTTGAACCTCCTCCATTTCTAAAGAGATTTAGAAAGGGAAAGCTTATCATCTTAATCATTCTAGAGAAGCACGTGAAAAATAAACCAGTCATTGCTTATATGATTTGTGCTAGAGTGCATTAAGGATCAAATTCATACATAATCAAAATCATAGACAATGAGACCTCATATATTACTCGTTGCACTTGATTTTAATTTACTGGCAAATATGTGAGTTTTGCATCAACTTATAACTTCAAAACTATTTGCTCTCCAATGACATTTATGATCACTTCTTTAGGCTATTTCATGGAGTGCTTTTGCTTTGTCTTGTTTGCCATGGATATTATTGTTCTATAACAATAATCAATTAAGTTATAAAATATAAGAATGCTTGATCGATAGATCCTTTGATAATACCATATGTATATATACAATATGTCTGTATTATTAAAGAATAAAATGTATCTATATATATACAATATGTTTAACTATTTTGAATATGTTATCCAAAAGAATGAAATATATTTGAAAATATGATTAGCTTAATAAATTAAGATGGTTGAAACATACATAGCGAATAATACACACACACACACACACATACAAACTTCTATATTACATAAAAAATGCAACTGTTCTAACTTCTTCAAAGTGAAATACATCTTTCATACATGCATAAGGCGGCATGTACGTAAAAACTAAAGTTTAGGTGTTAGATATATAATTACATAAGGAAATGAAAAAAGTATGCAAGTAAATCTTCCACAAAATAAATTTAACATCTTGCATAATATCCAACAAGAATTAATGAAAAGAGAGAACTTATAAGATTGACCACAAATAATTGCATTAAGGACAAACATGAAAAGATAATGATGATGGAGACTAATAAACTTTTGCAAGGCTCAATCATTTACATTTTACTCCTAAAAACAGGATAAATTTTTCCAAAAGGTGAAACCTACTGTTTTAGCTCGTTCCTTTGATCTTGTCCCTTGATTCATCTTTCCTCGCCTTCAAACGTGATAATTCAATAAAACTGTATGAAGTAGCAAGCTTGTCCGGCTCGTTAAGAATATTGTTGTTTATGTTCGGCTCGTTTGCTTAGCTAGTCGAATATGAGCTGTTCATAAACAACAAACTGTTTTGAAGTCATAATCACGCCATGATCATTGAGTAGGGGTAAAATTTACTACAAAGATTTATAGCAAATTTAAATTATTAATTGAAAAAAATAGAAAAAATAAAATTAAATATTATGTAAATTAATATTCATAAAATATAATATAATATATGAATATTAATTTACATCATATTTAATTTTATTTTTTTCAATTAATAATTTAAATTTGCTATAAATCTTTGTAGTAAATTCTTCCACTAATTAAATTATTTAAAGATAATATTCATAAGTTATATATATATATATATATATAAAAGTAAAAGAAGGGGTAAATTATGAAATCTTATAAAAAATTAAGATATCATAGTATTTTACAATTGGAGTCTGTATAGCTTTTAGTTTCTCTAATTATTTTTATGTATTAATATGATTGTATTAAATTTTTATAGGGTATTTCTTATTTTTAAGGTAAATATTTTTAATTAATTTTTGTCTAAATTTATCCGAAAAAAAATATAAAATTGTATCAAAATATATTGCGCAAAATAAATGACAAAAGCATAATATAATTCATTTGTTGTGGTTTTGTACAATTTAAAAGAGCTAATTGATTTATTCTGTGAGCCTTACTATTCTCATTTTACATGTAGTTTTATATGCATTATAACTGACATTATACGATGAATGTTAAGAATGACAAAGAATATTAAATATGTTGTATATGTTTTGAAATATATATAAATAAAAAATTTTAGCTATTATGATTTTAATTGATGGAGACATAATATGGTGCATAAGTTACGGGTTGAATTTGAGTTAGCAGTGTAAACTCAAAATAGGATGCAAAACATGAAGTTGAGATACAGACAAAACTGCGGTGTGGTGTTGCACCGTCACTGCACTGCTGCCCCAAACAAACCCTAAGTCTTAATTGCACTGGGGTCATTGAACTTGCTAACAGAAGTATTTTTTTTATTGATATAGATGAACTCTTTCATAATCATGAAGTAAGTATACTTCAACAGATTAATAATTTCTTTAGTAACTATATAAAAATATTTACAACATAAATTATTTTGGGATATGTGGATACATATTAGATGATGAATTGTGCTTTGTTATTGTATTTTGATGTAATGGCTTTGTGTTGTAAGAGTTTGAATGATAAAATAAATTCCTTCTATATAAAGCTTGGACAAATGTTTGATAGATATGCAATCATATATATATGATCTATTATAGTGTAAGGATTCCATTGGGCTCTATTGTAACCAAAAAATCTATAATTTGTTTGTCCAAATCATTTTGGTCATGCTTCCAATTTTTCTCAAATTTGAGGCATATATATCCATAGGCAATTTCCATTGAAATACTTGGGCTTGCCTCATACTCTATGGAGTCCTCAAAAGAAATACTATGCATATCTTCTTCATAAGTTGAACTCTAAAATTCTCTTTTTTGATAGCATATTTCACTTTATCACATTTGTATATAAAGAACTATCTATCTTTTTGGCTTTGAACAATACCGATCTCAAAATGTACTATTAACCAGATCATTTTTTTATATCTTTAATTTCTTTTATGGTAGAGAAGAACAAAAGAAAATGCATCTCATCTCCTTTTATTAAATAACTTTGTTCAAAGATAAACGTGAAACAAGTCTTGCTTCTATCTCTACTATTAATATATTTTATAAATTCAAAACCACTTGCATGCTCTTTAATACCGGAGCTCTATTTTCAAATTAGTGTGCTACTCATAACTTTTTTTATGGAGGCACAACACTTCTAACACTTCACCTCTTTAGAAAGAATTAGCAAGGGTTGCTCTTACATTCAAGCACAACTTCAAACACTATATTTGGGATTGTTATAAATCCTCCTTGCCTTTTGATCATTGGTGTAAGGGAAAATCAATTTGAATTGTCGGGCTCTTGCTATTTTACCTTATTCAGTAAATCAAACGACACTTTACTGAACACTATTATCATTAATGGATTTTGGCGTATTTCTTTGATTTTAAGACCAGTTAATACTTATTGCTTTAATTATAATACAAAAATAATCCTATTGGGTGAAAATGGTGTGGTTTTATGGAAGAGGGATACATTTTATCGTAAATATGAAAGTAATAATTTTTAAAAATCTATTGAAATTTGATTTAGCTATAGAAATTTGGTTCTAGAGGGACTCTCTTGAGCTCTTTACTCTTTTGTTGGATGGTCTCTGTTGGAGGCTTGAAAATTTCTAACAATTTAGAATCTCATGAATTGAAAGTTTTGAATTTGTGCAGCTTTGTAATGAATTTCTCGAATCACATACTCTTCCTTTTCTTATGTTTGTTAGCTTCGATGTGATTGATTGGGAATCTACTTCTCTGTAGAACTTTTTTTTCTGTTTCAACCTACTCAACAACAAGTTTTGATTGAATTTTGAATTTGTGCAAAATTTGTAATGAATTTTCTAGATCACATGCCCTTTAATTAATTATTATTTTTTTTTTTTTGTTACATTCTATTTGTTTGATTTGAAATCTATTTCTATATAGGCTTTCCTTCATGTTTCAACTTATTATGCAACAAGCTTTGAATGCCATCTTCTTTATTGACTAAGAAGCACTTGAAAGGCTTTCTTTTCTACTTCCATACTAATTCATATTATTTATGATAAGTGGAATGATATGATTCTTAAATATAAATCTACTTCCCTACTTTAAATTACAGTAAAGGTGAAAACAATAATTGCCCACAACATCAGTAGACAAAGCCTAAGAAATTCTTGGCAAAATGATGCTATCAATATAATGAAACATTGGTGAATGTGTCGACTGATTGAGCATAATTGATTCTTATACTTTCTTTTTTTTTTTGCATTTTTCCTTACTAGTATGGTTACTCATGACTTCGATGCAATTGGTTTTCTTATATGGCCTTCCAATTCACATTGGTTTACAATTTTGATCGTTGCTCTTTTGTAATCCTATTTTCTGCTAAAATTGTTCGGCTTCGGGCAATGTTGTGTTCTAATATGTCTAACCCTTCTAAATGACAATGTTAATCCAACCATTTGCGGTTGATGTTATCGTACCCATGATAACGCTCATTTTTGTTACCATCATGTCTCTCTGTCTTGCTCTGAGCCTATTTCTCAACTACATTGATAACTTTTATATGCTCAATGGGCAAACTTTATATTAACATTCAACATCTTTTTTAAATTACGACCATCCTAAACTCGCTCATAAGGTTTTGAGCGAAAGTTTTAAATCATTAAATTATTATACTTACAATTTATGGTTAAAATATTATATTTAATTATTTAGATGATTAGTATGTAAGAATTGGGGATTAACATAATTTTATACGTGTAATCAATATCTCTTAGAGAAATAAAATAATACTATCATCTTCACTTCACCATCTTAACAATAATAACAACAACAAATGCTTCCTATGCGAATAAAAAAAAAATCAAAATCCATATAAAACAAGCAATAAAAAAATTAAAAAAAATTCAAAATTATCCATCTAAAAAAAAGAACTGCCAAAGCAGAGCACCTTCCGGTCAGCGCCGTATCTCCGCTGCTTTGCACTGGCGGGCGCAAATCGAGCTCACCGCTCTCCTCCGCTTCCCTCTTCATCCATAAAAGATCACCGAATTCTTCTCCTACACTCTTTTCTCCACCTCGTGATGGCTCTTCTTCTAACCCTACCGGAGTTATTCTCTACTTCCGGCGTCATCAGATACACCCGCCGGAGAATCGTCGCCGACGGCCGCTGCTGCCGGCTTCCTTCAATTCCGCGGGGGCGCGGGAGAATCGTCGCCGACGGCCGCTGCTGCCGGCTTCCTAGAGTCGCGCGGCGCAGTTTGATCGCATATTGCAGGGTAGTCGATCGTGAGACGAGCATCGTTAGGGTTTCCGACCCAATCAAGAACGCCGGCTTCAACCCTATCTTATCGGTTCCGGTGCTTTGGGTGTCTTCCGCTTCGCCGCCGCCTCCTTCGCTGAGGCAGCAGCTGCAGGAGATGGATGGCGGTGACGATAAGAATGACTATTACGTGAACCTCGGCAACGCGATTCGAACGCTGAGGGAGGATTACCCGATTATTTTCTACAAGGAACCCGGCTTCAGTATCTATAGGTACATATTTCGGTTATCATTTTTTTGTTTGTGTATATTAGATGGCTTTGTATGGTGGAGGCCAGAGAAAGGTGGCTTCTTTTTGGGGATTAATTCGCTCTGTTTTTTTTTTCCCTACTTTTATGCTGTACAGAGATTGTTTATTTCATTAAGTAAGAGAAGTAAAATCAACGGCTGGAGCTTTGAAATACATAAGTCCCTGCAAACCATGAATTTTTGTGCTTTTGATGCAATCCTTTCCCCACAAGCATAAATGTTTTGCCTGTTGATTATTTTGTTTGAAGCCCATGCTTCTAGTTTCAGAGCATATGCTCTCTGCTTCTTATTAAAGCTTAAAAAATTGTACTTCATTAAATAGGAACACAAATTATACCAGATTACTATATTGAAATAAGCTTTTAATCAAATATGGAAAAAGTTCCAAAATTTTCTTCGTATTAGTTTATTTCTCTAAAGAATAATTTGTCTGCACAAAAGTTCTATATATTCAAATATTCAGCATTTTCTATTGGTTTTTAGTTACAAGTAACCTTCTACATGATTCCTCATTGTAAAACAAATCTGTTTTGATGTCCGTTTATTTATTTAATTCAATTAATATCATTGTTTCTTTATAAATCCATAGATGCATGCTAAACTTCAGTCTTTTCCATGGATGAAATTGATGGGATTTCTTATTTTTTCCATTTTCTTAAATTTCTTTTTTTCCCCATATTCTTAAGTTTTAATTTGTTTTCTTTATTTTAATCTAAAGATATTTGAATATTGCACGTTTATTAAACTTTATTTAATATTTAAAACCTTTCTCTGTTATTTAAATACTATAAAAATAATCAAATCTGTTTTTATGATATCACAAACTCACAGTTTGAACACAATTTGCAGTTTTACTTTCTGAAATATCAGATAATGTTGTGCTTTGCTAAACTTTTAGTTATTTCGATTGATAAACTGCCAATTTTTAGCTGTTTCTGCCATAACTTTAAAGCTTTAAATAGAGATCATGCACTGGACATGTTCTTACTTCATTTTCTCTATAAATTGAAATTTTTCTATGTAACTTTTTGTAAAGCAAACTGTATGATAACAATGTGATATAGTTTTTATTGTATGCATCAAGTTCAAATAAAAACTGCATTTTGAGAGGCACATCTTTGCTATTGAAGCTAAGTATTGAAGGGGATAAATTTCCATCCTAGTAGATTTCTTCCACTAAAACTTCATTTTAATTAAAAAAGGGGAATTTATACACATACCACACAATTCTAATGTATTCACGTATCTAACACCTAAACATTCATATTTACGTGCACACCACACAAATCTTTAATATCACAACAAAATTACCGCCATTACTACCTTCTTAGAAGTTAAATACACTTGTTCATGCATAGGTGTATGACACCATATTCTTATAATTGTAAATATTAAACTTTGGGTGTTAGATATGTAAATACATATGTGGCATGTAAGTAAATTTTCCTTTAGGAAAACAGGCAATCTCCACCAGTTAAATGAACATAGCATCCCGTTAGAGGTGAAGGCATCCATTTTTAAGGGGTCCATAACCGTTGAGGATAATATAAAATGATAAATGTCTTGTTGATTAGTAAGTATTATTCTTAGGATACAACAACAACAACAACAACAAGCCTTTATCTCACTAAGTGAGGTCAGCTACATTGACTGTCCTATTAACTGTCATATTTTCATTTAATTATAATAACTAAAGATCATTTTTTATACAATATGCCCAAATCTTTCTAGGTCTAACTCCGTCTTTCTTAACATAAGTCGAATCTAAAATATCTACTCTTCTAATTGGATCATCAGATGACCGACATTTAATGTGATGAAATCATCTAAGACGACTCTCTCTAATTTCATCCCCCATTGGAGCGACACCAACTCTATTCTTTTCTCATTTTTTCTCTAAGTGTCAAGCCACTCATCCACCCATGCATTCTCTTCTCGGCTACACTTAACTTTGTTTTATGCTTCTCTTTTAAAGGCCATCATTCAACGCCATAGAGCATTGCAGGTCTCAGCGCCAGCTTATAAAATTTTCCTTTCCGTCTAAGCGGTACTTTTCTATCACACAATAGGCCTAATGCATTCGCCCACTTCAACCAACCAACTTGAATTCTACTTATAACATTCCCATCCATATCACCATCACTTTGAACAATAAACTCGAGATATCTAAAGCATTTACACCTTTTTAATCATATGATCATTTATAATTACAACTATGCCACTAGCACCACTGCTAATAAAATTGCATTCCATGTATTCAGTTTTTAGTTCAACTCAAACGAAGGCTTTTAGTCTCCAATGTAGACCTCCATAATTTAAGCTTTTCCTGAACTATTTCTCGGGTTTTATCCACAAGAAGGATATCAGTAGCGAAATTATTCACCAAGGTACATCCTCCTGTAAATGTCCAGTGAGAACATCCATAACTAAAGCAAAATAGATATGGGATTAAAGCCGATCTTTGATGTAATCCAACTGAAATAGGAAAATATTGGGTCAATTCTTTTTCTGTTCGCACACAAGTAACAACTCATGTATAAATCTCAAGAAGATTGTTGCTTGGTGCCGCCTTGCAATATATATATATATTTTTTTATGCCAAAAGAAGCTATTTGGCCCACATTTTAAGGAGACCCAATAATTACGTTAATCGATTGACTACTAGTATGAGTTTGAGTTTATGGGTCTGTTTGGGGCAGTTGTAGCTTTTCAGCCTTACAGCTGCAGTTGCGCTGTCCCAGGAAGCTGCTGTGGGGAAGCTGCTGCGGGAAAGCCTATTTTGGGCACTTGCCCCTATTTTTATATTATCCTTTATTTATTACAAGTACAGAACTCGTCCTGTAATGCTGAAGATCCTAGTTACTCATTTTTAATTATGGGATTTCAACGAGAGCTAGGCGTTCCAAGTTTTGGTCTTGTATTTTGCTTTCTTGAGCCTATGTTGTGAGTTGTTTTTTCTTTTTGTTTTTTTTTTTTTTTTGCCTTCATCCTTTTTCTAGCCCTTCTCATTTTTTTCTGAATCAGTAATGTTCTTAGCATAACCAACAGACAAACCGGGATCCTTGAAGTCCCTTTAAATTATTTTGGATCAGATTTGAGAAGCCAATGAGACTATTTTAAACTAGACTTCGGTACTCAAGTGACTAAATTAGATGCATCATGTAGTTTAGGGCTAAATAGTCCAAGAATTATTTTGACTTTCTCTAATAAATGTCAAGGGTAGATTTGAAAATAAAACAAAATAAAAAATTAGGTTTAGCATGCATTCTTTTGCATGCTCAATTGAAATCCCTCTGCATTGCGATGCGCTGGATAATCTCAGTAAGTGTCAGTGATCATCGACAACTGAGAAGTATTTATAAATTATGACACTTGTTCTGTTCTTTAGTTGTTGTCAGCTCACCAATCCTATTACTCCAGAAAATATAGTATGTTAAAACTTAGATTTTGCCTGAACTTCAGAGAAACCTCCTGCAACTATGTTATGGTATGGATATGATTACTGCTATCAGATGTATATATCAAGCATATGTTTCAGATTTAATTAGTTGGGACATTTACGTACATACCACACAATTCTTATGTATTTACATATCTAACACCTAAACATTCATTTTTACATGCATAACATTCAATTTTTTAACATCACATAAAAAATATCACCATCACTATCTTTTTGAAAGTGAAATATAAATTTTATGCATAAGCTTATGACACCAGGGTGTTATGAATGTTAGATATGTAAATAAATAGAAACTGTGGTATGGATGTAAATTTCTCTAATTAGTTTTGGTTCACTCTCTGATAAAACATGCAAAAGGCTGATTTCCTTGTTTGTTAATAGACGGCATTTGTTGTAAATTATTATCTATGTTTGGTGCACCATGTTAATGTTCTAAAGCACGCATCACTAAACAGCATAAACTAGTGTAGTAAATTGCTTTGTAGGGATGATATTGTCTTCAAAGATCCTCTCAATACGTTTGTTGGAATCAATAATTACAAACAGATATTTTCGGCAATGCGATTCATCGGCCCGGTTTTATTCAAAGCTCTGTGGGTCGACATTGTGAGCGTTTGGCAACCAGTTGAGAATACGATCATGATTCGATGGACGGTTAATGGCATTCGTCGTGTGCCTTGGGAGAGTTGCGGTCGCTTCGACGGCATATCTGTGTACAAGCTTGACCGGAAAGGGAAGATTTTCGAGCACCAGGTGAATAACATTGCTCGTAATCCTCCAACGAGGTTCAAGATCATTGCGGTTGAGGAGCTTATTCAGTCACTTGGTTCCTCGTCCACACCAAGGCCTACTTTTTTCGAGACATATGTGAGTGATAAAATTTCTATGCCATTTCTGTTAGAATTTTTGTTTGTTGGGTATTATTTTGTTGTATGTTTGTTGTTTTATGATGTATATGAGAAGATGAGGAGCTGTGGTTTGCTTGAAAGCTACAAATTGTGTCAACATGTTAATAGGGCAGGTGACAAATTGTGTCAACATGTTAATAGGGCAGGTGAATTTTGTAAATTAGTTGCTCCAATGTAAATATTTTAATAAGACTGTGTATGTTGGGGTAATACATAGTTACTGGGCTCAATAGATGAACTCACTGGTGTCATTTTTTTTTTTTAAATAAAAGATTTATCTACATACCGCTCAATTTACATATCTAAAATCTAAACTTCATTTTTTACAAACTTATCGCTTTACCTATGCATGAAAATGTGTATTTCACTTTTTAAAAGTTAAAATGGTGGCATTTTAATGTGGTATGAAGATTTGGGTGGTATAAATGTAAAAAGCAAAGTTTACGTGTTAGATATGTAAATGCATGGGAATTGGGTAGTATGTATGTAAATCCATCCCCCTTTTTTTCTCTTTTTTTGCTTGAAATCTGGTTCAGTTTAGTGTTCATAAAATGTTAGCATGGATGACTAGTGGTTGATGCAAATTACATTAGAAGGTACTAGGAGAGAGACTTGATGAACCATCCTTTCAGTAAAAAATAGGAAGATATAAAGTTGGCATTGCTCTTGTGGATGTTAATATGGCATGTTGCTATTATTCGTTTAAATTTCTGAGAAACTGATTTATTTTTTGAAGTCTCTGATTTCTATCATTGTTGTGTTAATTTTATAAATTGGTTTTTTTGCGACAAAACTTGTAGATTAAATTGTAATTAATAAAATATTTGATTGTCTGTTATTGATAAAGTACATTAATATGTTGAAAGAGCATGTCATCTAGCAACTGAAACTTTGATATTTAAACTAGCGCCTAGGTGATTTTTTGGACTACCGAACTGATGCAGTTACGTGTGTCATGATCAGACCTTTGAGAATTTGATAGAAATAAATAATGGGTTGGGGTTTTATCATGAATTTTGATATATGAGTGAATTTGAAAAAAAGGAATGAGAGAGGGTGCTAGCTTTGTAAATAGAGAAGTTTTGAGTGTTGTGTGTGATTGCCCCCAAAAAAATATTTGTAAATAGAAACATTTTGAGTATGAGTATAAGAGGTGACAGAGCATATCTCCATTGATCTATTTCTTTAAGCTAGGCAGTCGGGGTAACCCTCCATCTCCACCGAAGATAGCTGGAATGATTCTAGCTAGGTGTATTTTGTCTGCCTGAACAGGTGCATCCACAGGCTCCTCCGATGGGGTTAGTTCCTCTACCAAGTTTTTGAGATGAGGACACTCCTTCGTATCGCGCCCATGGTCTGATGGTAGGCGCAGTATTTGTTCGGATTTCAAAGAGTCGGTACATTTTTCATTTTGAATGGCCTGGACTAGCTCGGCCATTGACATATTCAGGGGGTCGAACATTCCATTTCCCAGTAGACGTGCGGCCGCCCTTCAAATTGAGTTGTCCGCCGTTCAGGATGGTTACCTTTGACCCTTGTCGCCCAGATTGCCTCCCCTGTTATCACGGAAGCGAGGATTGTCAACTGGCCAAGTGTCTGGGGCTCGATTGCCCTTCGACTTCTTCCCGTCATCTCTGCCCTTTCGCTTCTGCGATCGACGGTCGGGCGACTTCGGTTTGGTTTCAGAGTCCATAAGATTATTCTCGGCGGTAGTGTGATTGTTAGCAAATTCCAAGACCTCCGTGAAATTTCTTGGTTTGAGTAGGTTCAGGTCGTACCTTAATCACTTGTTGCAGATTCCTTGCTTCAGGGCAGTCTGAGCGATTAGGGGCTCCAGTTTTTTACCTCTAATATTTCTTTCTGAAAGCGAGTGATGTTTAGCCCACAAGCTTTCATTCTCTCCCTGCTTGATCTGAAGCAGAGTTTTTGTATCCTTCCTCAGCTTCTGCACGTTAACAAAAAGCGCTAGGAAGACCTTTCGAAACTTGAAGAAGGATGGGATGATTTCATCTCGACAGACTGTTAAACCACCGAAGCGCGAACTTTTTCAGCGTGGTCAGAAAAAAGCCGACACTTCATGGCATCATTGATCCGCAGGACTCTGCCCAGTGACTCGAAAGAAGCTATATGGTAGGTCGGGTCACTCTTCTTTTTATAAGGATCGAAGTGAGGAATTCTCAGCTTCGCTAGGGGTACGGTTTCCAGAATTCTGTGGGTGAAAGCGTTTCCTGCAGCTAGTCGGGCAAGCGATCCCGCTCGGTCGGCCCGATGTTGGACTACCGGTGTAGATGTTGCGTTGTCTGCCAGTTGGGAATCCCCTGGCCCTTTGGTTGGTCGACCACCGGCCCGGCCGTTGGGCGTTGGCAGATTGTTGAGGGGAGCTTTTTGGGGGCGAGTTCCCCGAGATTCTTCCTCCAAGGGCGACAATTGGAGGCTCCACTGAGTCATGGTCGCTTGGAGAGCCTCGAACTGGTCCATTCTTTGCACTCGCATCGCCCAGACCTTCTCTTGTATGTCTTGACATACCTTCTCTCTGTTGAATTCCATGAATGTCATGTCTTTCTGTGAGGAGGCATATCCGCACTCACCACTCTAGCTTTTTGGGTGTTGAATCCCAAATTGTCTTTTGTAACACAAGTCCCGAGTGTTGGAGCTGAGCAAAGGAGAACGAGAACGAGAGAGAGAGAAAGTAGTGCAGATAGATGTCTATGGAGAGGAGCGTGGTAGGACTGCGATTGGCGGATTGGCGTGCTTCGGCTCGGTCGGACAAAGTGACTGACTATGTGATGGTCGCTTCTGCCGAGGTAGATCAGTCGGCTAGTCACGGTCAGTTGGCATTTTTAGGAAGCCTCGGCCGTTGGAGCCATAAAAAAGTCCGCGGGCTGGATCCATCAGTATTGATGGTCTATTGACTCAATCGGGCTGTTGGTCTTCAAATGACCGGTTCACATCAAGTTCCTTGAATTCAATGTTTTGATTGTTGAGCCACCATCCTTAGTCTTCTGATCGCATTGTGATTTGTGCGTACAAATTGGATTTACTGAACGCAGGATTTAAAAGCTACCATTTTTCTGTTTCTTAAGATTTAAGTTAAATCAAACTTAAATCAGTTACCATACAGCCTCTTAGTCCCATCTCAAAATTACCAATTGCCAGTGTCTTGCTTACAGGAGCTACCACACATAATCAGCCAGTTCTTCATGTTGAATTCCAACATGAAGAAAATTTTAAGAATCTACTAAATTTCATTGATCTACTGGATTCAAAGACATTACAGTAGCTACAACGTTTCAACATTTTGAATTCCAAACTTGTTCTTATACCTATCCCAACCAAAGTTTCGGCTATGGTTGTTGCTACACAACTTTATCCTGGTCTTGCTCTCCACCCTCATTTGGTTATATCATTTCAGTACCAAAGGTTAAACGAGCCAGATAGTTCTTTTGCAGTTAATAAGCTCTATCAACATGTACATCATTCACTTAACGGTCGTCGAGGCTGGGCAAACAGTCGATTCAGTTGAAAATTTCATCAATTCGATTAAAGCAAACCAAATAATAGACAACACAAAATCTACTAATTATGATATTGAACGGGATCAAATTGAACTTATATATAATTCAGTTACTCGGTTCAATTTTGGTTTTACCAAATTTTAACATCCTAGTGAAGATATGTGCATTTAGTCATTTCAGATTGATTGGTTGATTGATTGATTGACAGATTTGTTAAGCCATTGGTTGATAGATTTACTTTAACCATAACATAATTTAGTTTTTTTTAAGTAGCCGTGTATAAGTAGCCGAGTACAAATCATTTAGTTCGCTTACAACGATCAGCTAACCCATTTAACAAGGGGAGTAGATTTGCCTGAATAACTAAAGGATCGACTTAGTTTAAGAGGGCAACTCGCTCTAATGTCAAATTGCTCTGCACTGAGTTGTCACAAAAGCCAAGTAGGCCAACAAAGATGCGACCCGACCAGTGCATGGGGAACATACGTAAAGATGAGATGACAAACAGTGATTCATGGCGTCGAAGTGAGATCAAGATAAGAAGGGAAAAATCAAATATCGTTCGAGATGTGCTAAATGAGTATCTATTTTGTATTATATATTAGAACTTTAGCAAATTTATGTTAATAGACAATATATTTTTCCTCTTCTGAGCAAAATTACACATAAATTGGAATTCAACATATACTTGCATATTTTATAAACATGTGATCAGGACACATTAATTTCTCCTACATCAACCTCTGACTTAGTATAAAATACAACATAATTAATAATTTGTGCAGAAAAATTATTATTTGTGGGTATATTTGGAAATAAAGAAATTCCAATCTTATTTTTGCTTTTGAGTTTTATGGCTATTAAAATGACTTTTTTGCAGCACAAGTATGCCCAACTATTAGGAAAGATTCTCTATCATCACTGCAATGAAAGAATTTTTTTTAGATTGAATGATGAGTTATAAATTAATATATTATTTAAATTAGTGATTTAAAAAGATAACATTCTTCTCCAGCTATTAGGCCGCGAATCCTTTAATCATAATCTAATTATAAGATGATAAATTACTTTTTATGATAGAAAGTTTCACAATTTATGATAAATTCAGTAAAACATCCTATGCTTAAGAAGATTGGACATCCAAAAATCTCTTTTTTGAGACTCAGGGCCTATTTGTTTTGGCTTTTCGAACTAAGGTTGGGCGTTTTAGATCATACGACGTGTTCGCCACACCACCTTTTCTACAAATTTGTGGGAGTTTTCAGACGACCGCTTCCTATGGTTTAATTTCTTTCATTCTAAATTTAACCTTTTACGTGTACATCGCTTATTGCTTAATTCATCATTGGAATTAACTTCTTCTCTAATTCAGACGTATATATCTATTTATTTATATATCTCGCAATTAAAAATAAAGATCTTTAATATTTATTACATATATATAACACACTCACAAAAAATTAGATCAAAATTTATACAATATGAGCAAAGGAGTATTTCAAACATTTAATCACAGACAACATTTTCAAAAATGAATTTTTCAAACTAAACAACTACGTATGGAACATCAGTTTTTAAAGAACAGAGTTTCCACCGCAGCTTTTGTATTGAGATTTCCATACAACCAAACCCTTCCCAAATGCATCCTCAATCTGATTACATAAATGTAAATGCAAATGTGATGTTTTAAAAAAGCATGAAATTCTTACATTATTTTCCACCATCAAAAACCTCTTTAAAATTCTCTAAAAAAAAATAAACATTCATTTTCATATTCAACACAAATTAAAATAAATGCTTCACTTTCTAAACCACATTTTCAACCAAGCAACAATTCTTTTCTCTAATTGATGCTAAAATTTATATAAAAAACCTTCCAAAACTTCAAGCAACTTATAGTCATTTGCATGCAAAACCACCAACAATTCTTTTATGGAGCATTTGAACATTTCTTTTCTAGTTAATCATAAAGCAAAGTTGGGTCTTCAAAGCCTTCACTAGTAAATACTCTTCCTATTTGGCTTTTCAGGCATGAAGCTGAAATAGAGCTTTGGTGCTCTATATATATTGATTCTCATCAAAAGCATTCCTAACTATAATGAGTGAGAGTTTTTTTCTATAAGGATAAATGTGAATGAAGGGTAAAAAGGATGAGTTGTGGCACATTTTATATATTGGTAAAGATATGGTACTATGGGGAACACATCTGCATATATGATAGTTGTTAGAGATTAATTATTCATGTGTGAATTTCATTGCTGAAACATTTTGAGGCGGATATTAGACATGGACTTGCTTCATTCTATATTGGTTGTGATATCATTGATGATCAATATTATGTTTTTTTTTTTGAAGTGTGTTAAATTATTGAACTTTGTAATCTAACTTTATAAATTCATATTTTTGTTAAATAAGTACTTTTAAGCATGTTTTTTTTTGAAATACAAAAGACTGGTTTATATTTTATTAAAACTAAAATGTGCAAATATGTTATATAGGTGGGGGTCAATGTTGTTATTGTATTTATAATTTCATGATGCTTTTGTCATGGTAAAGTCTATTTATGGAGCTCCATAATTAATATGTTATACAGGTGGGGGTCAATGTTGTTATTGTATTTATAATTTTATGATGCTAGTGTCATAGTAAAGTCTATTTATGGAGCTCCATAATTAATATGACAAATCTTTCATGTAAGCACTCTAGAAAAATGTGTGTGCTGAGTGAAACACTTTGCTCAATATTATCCTGTTTGATTATTATGTTGTTAACATATGTGGGAAATGTTTTAATCTTCATCCTTCAATAATTGTGATAGTCAATAATATTCCTTGCAAAGGATTTCAACACCACATATTTTAACATTTATAATCAATCAATTTTCCTCTACAAATATTTGAATCAAGTATGATATGTCCACTTGACAACATCATAATGGTAAGCCAACACTGCTTTGTAAGAAACATTCAAGTCAGAAATAGGGACATACATGAAAGATGAACATTTTGCTTCCCTATAAGTGTTCCATTCAGTGCTTGCAGAGCAAATTCAGCATTGCTTCTTTGGACAAATTGTACAAAACCACATTGCTTCCCAGCCGGAACCTTTTACAGAAGCAACATCACCATGTTCAGAAAATACTGCTTCAGCTCATCTTCACTAACATTTGGGTCAAGTCATCCCACAAATATTGTTGTGATAGTTGAATCTCCTTCAGACCGGGAGCCGTGTGCTGATGCACAGCTATATCCTGATGCACCAGATAATTTTCTTGGATTTGCAACACAAATACGCATTGGCCTGCTTTAGCAATAAATACATCATCAGCTGCTTGATAAGAAAAAAAAAATCAATGAAACCATATCCTTCTGATTTTCTTGTTTGTTTATTGCGAATAACTTTAATGAAGATAACAGTTCTAACACAATCGTAGTGCTGTGAAACTGCGACAATAATTTGTTGCAGTAATTTTTGCTATAGTGCTATAATAATTATTGAAATATTTTTTCTATTTCTAAAAATAATGGTTATTAAGATTCTTAATATTTTCTAATTAATTAAGTATTAATTGACCTAAAGGAATATTAAAATTTGACCATATTTAAATTCATACATGTAGTGATAAATATATAACAATTATTCAGTAGCATATAAATAATAAGTGGATCCAAAGATTAACTTATTATTTAACATGATTTATTATTAATGTTTGATCACTACACCAAGAATACAACTTACAAATTGATATTTATGTCCAAAGACTAAATAGTAAGGTTGTGTATAGAATTATTATGAAGGGATTAACCATTATTTTAAATCTTGTTTATATTTTTTTAATGGACCCTAATGTGAATTTGTGATTTTATTCTATGCACAATTACTGTATCTAAAAACTAAAAATATGTAAATGTTAACTTCATTCCTATGTTAAATGGAAAATTAATGTGTATTAATCACTATCGGTTGTCTTCCTCTAGGCATTGCACTAAGGATTGAACGTCCCACTACTACTTATCACAGTTCCACTAAGGATAAAAAGAAACTTGAGAAATGTGATCATTCGAATCGTATGAGTCTCATGATCGTTAAGTGAGGCATTCCAGAAATATTTAGGAATACTGTGTTTGATAAGGTTGATACGGTCAAACGTTTCCTTGAGACTATTGAGAAATGCTTTGCTAAGAATGACAAAGCTTAAACAAGCATGCTTTTAGCGAGCTTGATTTCAATGATGTAATAAAATAAAGGAAACAAAAAAGAGTGCATCATGAAGAAGTCTCATGTTGCTTCAAAACTAAAGATACTAGAGTAAGATATTCTGAGGATCTTTTAGTACATCTAGTTTTGATTGTTCTTCCCGCACAATTCAGTCAATTTAAGTTCATGCACAACCAACAAGATGATAAACGTACTTTCAATGAGCTCATTTCTCAATGTGTGCAAGAGAAAGAAAGGCTAAAGCAAGAAAAGACTGAAAGTTCTAATTTGAATAACACATTTAGGAATAATAAAGAGAAAAGACAGAAGAACAATGAAGTTGCTAAAAGTCCATCACAAAAGAAACAAAATGAAGAAGAAACTAAAAAATCTGCTTGTTTCTTTTGTGGTAAGTCCGGACATAAAAAGAAGTCTTGTACCAAATATCATACTTGACAAACAGAGAAAGATACACTTCTTAATTTATTTTTTTCTAACACTTGGTGGATCAATTCAGGAGCCACTACTCAATAAGTATATGCCTTAGCGTCTATGCATAGAATCTCATAGACACTAAAAGCTGGGTCAGGTATAGAAAACTCTGTATAGGCACTAAGGCTAAACTCTGGATCAATTAGTTTCTGACCCAGCTCTCATACCATGTAAAAAATCGTACTTTTTTTATTTCTCTACAATGACATTATAACTTTTCTGCTTAAATGATAAGAAACGGCTAGAGTAAGACTAATTACAACAATTACAGAAAGAATTGCAGCATATTGCCAAGGTGGTTAATCACATGCTTGGCGACATTTACATCCTGATGGAGGTGCAGAAGCCATGTATTAACTGTCAAGGCGGTGCCAGGCAAAGCTGGTGGGTCAAATGTGTTATTTTTCAAAACTTCTACAGTTTCTAGTTTTATTATGTAATTTCGTTTCGTCATGCAACTAAGATGTAAGAAATGCAATTGCTTCTTAAGTATGGTATTTGTTTTTGAAGCGGTTGGGTGCTACAAGTTTGGAATGATAATACATCAAGGCCTTCAACGCTTATCCTATATTTTGTTTATTGCTGGATAAGTGTTTTGTTTCATGCAAAAACACATGCTTTACTTACATTTTCAGAGTGTGCAAACTCTGAATGTGTCTTCCCCATCTGTGGGTGACAATTGTTTCCCCCAAATTCAATTAACATATTTGTTTCTAAGAAGATCCAGTTGAAATAAGAGATTACACCACTTCTTTGCTTTGGTAATGAATTCACAAATCAATGCATAAGTCAATTTAAGCTACTTAAATTCACAACTTTCATATTTAAATGAGAATAAATTAAAGATTTTAAAATCTAAAAATATATTCAAATAATTTGAAATTAAATAAATAAGTTATTGGTAAATCATTTAGAAGATAGCACTTCAGCAATCTAAAAGACTGACAATAGTCCAATTAAAACAAAAAAGAGAAATGAATTACTTCCATCACCCATTGCTTAATAAAATATATAAGTGCTTGTAATGACTACTAATATGACCAAAGAAAAAAAAAAAAAACAGTAAAATTTTACTAGCAGCAGATATAAATATAAATCTATTAAGAGAAAACTGACAAAGTTCCCTACTATACATTTAAATCTACAGAAAAGCTAAAAGAACCCATAGACCATAGTCCTACCCTCCTTATTCTTTTAACAAAAGGGGTAGGGTCAACAGAACATCAAACACAATAACAGATGAAAAAACATGGTTTCCTCACCTGCTACACGCATCCAATTAAGAAAAACTAGCTGAAATTAGGGGGGAAAAGAAAACTACAAAACTAAGCAAACTAATCACAGAAGACCCCATCCAAACAAGAAAAATAATTGGTTTTCTTTTACAAATTTCCATGATTCATGGTGTACAATGAAACTTCATTCAATCTTGAAGTGCTGCACCCGCGCCATGGCTTGCGAAATGATCGGCTATAGAACCACCTGCAAGCAAAGCCATAAGACTCCCTCCATGAACCCTACCTTCTGGAAGAGAAGCTGCTCCAGCCTTTAGAGAAGTTACGGGATCCAGTTTACTCCAGCTCAGAACACTGCTTCCCTCTTCAACAGCAATTCCCTTCATCTTATCAGCTTTGGTAGCTAATGCTTTATCAGCACTGAGAATTGCAATGGTCTCTCCACCATGAACCTGGTGGTCCTGCACTAAGGCCAGGTGAGAAGCACAAAGGCCAAGCTTTCCCCTAGCAAATCTATCACACCGAGACCCTCCACCACCCATATCCGACCCAGCTTCGCCCCACAAACACCTTTTCCCACCTCCATGTGCCTTGCAGAAATTTGTGCTTCCCTGTGCACTCTTCCCGCATCCCTCAGACTGGCATCGCCTCCCCCCACCGTGACGAACACAGTAATCCGTTCGACCTCTTGCGCTCTTCGTACACTCCGGCGCAGCGCACCTCTTACCGCCACCATGAGCTACGCAGAAATGCGTTCCGCCATGAACGCTCTTAGTGCACACACCGCCACCGTGAAACAAGCATCGCTTACCTCCACCATGCCCTTTACAGAAGGGAGTGCTTCCCTCTGCACCTTTGCTGCAGTTGGGAAAAGAACACCGCTTTCCCCCACCATGAGCTTTGCAGTACATCGTGCTCCCCTGCGCGCCTTTTGTGCATTCTAGGAACTGGCAACGTTTGCCTCCACCGTGGGCGATGCATAAGCCTGATTGGCCTTCCGCACTCTTCGTGCAGTTTTCCTTCTGGCATCTCTTGCCGCCACCATGCCTGATGCATAATCCAGATTTTCCTCTTGCAGCACGCATGCAACCATTATTGCAGCATCGGCGACCACCGCCATGTGCGATGCAAAGATCGGTGCGACCTTCAGCACTTTTCGTGCAGCCGAGAAACTCGCAGCGACGGCCGCCTCCATGAGCCTTACAATATATGGTCCGTCCTTCAGCTCCTTTGTGACAACCAGCTTTCTGGCATCTTCGACCTCCGCCATGGCCAATGCAGAGTCCAGAAGCACCCCTGGCTCCTTTCAGACAACCAGGAAAATGACAATTTTTTGTGCTGCTGCTGCTTCGATTTTTCTTTTCGATGTTCGCTGAAGCACACTCAACTGGGGTTTTTGGTGCCTCAGGGAAAATCAATAACAGGTTTGAATTTGGAACTCTGATGGGCATTGTTGATACCGCGTTGTAACTGTATGGAATTCGACGGCTGTCATTTTTCCAGCACGAAGAAATGGCTCCATCATCAATAGCTGGCTCAGGAAAATTGACAGTTGAAGCCTCTAGGCTAATTAGATGTTTTGCAGGGGCTTCATGCTCGCTTGTGATAGATGACGCAGATGCTCCAACAGATAAACTCAACTGAAGATCGATAACAAGATTTGTGGATACTGGATTTGAAGTGGTGACACAAGGGACCTTGGGTAAATTTTTATTTTCAGAATTTAGTTTCAGTTCGAAATTTAGATCGAGATCCATGGAACATTCTTCATCAGCCACATGAGCTGATGAGGATGTGCAAATAGTTCCTGAGCTCCTTTTACTGCTTTCCGAGGAGCTTGTTGAACAAGGTAAAGCTAAGGCGAGGGGACAATGCCCAGGATCCCGACTTCCATTAATGGCCTCCCATTTCCTCTTTGTTTGTTTCAAGTTGAATCCATGTGCAGTGGAGGTGCCAGCTGAAACGAGCCGTAGTGTGGTGTCTGCTTGAGAATCCAGCCTCTGATTAAAAATTGATCCAATTGATTAAAAAAGTTTATAGATGCATGAGATTCAAATGCATTGATCTGTTAATTCATTACCATAGCAAAGAAGTGGTGAAATCTCTTCTTTCAACCGGATTTTTCTTAGAAACAATTAAGTCAATTGAATTTGGGAAAAAATTTGTCACCCACAGATGGGGAAGACACATTCAGAGTGTTTGCAATTTTGCATCCTCCACCCAAAAAAAAAAAGTTGATTTATGATGAAGAAATCGAAAATAATTAAAGCAGCTCCAAGAAAAGAACAAATTAATGGCTTCAAGTGTGTAGAAGGTACTGAATTCATGGAAAAAACAAAAAACCCAAAATAAGCCAATGTTTAAAATCAATGGCTAGAGTTGGCACATTCTAAAAATTCAAGAAAAGCACATGTTTTTGCATGAAACAAACACTTGTGCAGCAAGAAATAATTAAAGAATAGTCACGAAATGCAAAAAAAAAAAAAAAAAGAAAAAGAAAATTGCATAGAGACTGATCAAATTAAAAAAAAAAAACTTCTGAATATAGCATGAGCGTTGAACGCCCTAATGTATCATTCCAAACTTGTACCACCAAACCACTTCAACAACAGATAGCATACTTAAAGAGCAATTGCATTGCTTGCATCTTAGCTGCATGACGAAACCACATTACATAATAAAAACTTGCAATTGGAAACTTACTATATGCATTAAAGGGAAGATCAGGACATGTACGACTACTCTATGAAATCTGCATAAGTTTTGAAAAAAATAACACATTTGGCCCACCAGCTTTGCCCAACATGACCTTGGCAATCGGTAACTTCCATCGGATGTAAATGTCGCCAAGCATCTAATTAACCATCTTGGAAATACGCCGCTACCCTTTCTATAGAATTCTGAGTTTCCTATTTCAGCTCCATTCACTCCTTATTTCATATTTCTTTCCTTTTGGGTTATGTTTTCTTTGATAAATTGGAATTATGTTGTAATTAGTCTTGCCCTAATCATTCCTTATTATATAAACAGAAGAGCTATAATTTCATTATTGAGAAATAAGAAAATAAGATTTTCTCCATCTTTTTACACTTTTATATTTTCATGGTATCTGAACCACAATTCTCAATTTTCCATATCAACCTCTCAGGAAGTATATAACTTCCACATTCTTCCCCTAAGAATTTTTTTGTTCGAACCATTTTGATGGTTGAACACAAAATGGCTTTTGGAGATTCACCATTGGTGCCTCTCTCTTGCCTTTGGAAAGATTCACCATTGGTGCCGCATCTTGCCATTAATCATGATCTCGTACAATACTAATATCCAAGGAGTTGATCATCCGATTGCTCACAAAAGGATAATTTAGAATGTCTTAATGTCCAAAAGGGAAATCCATAATCTTAAATAGTAGACTCTAAGCCTTCGATGATATGATAGGGGATGCCTCCTTATTTCAAACCTTTCATTCGTGTCGAAAAAGAATACAATTAAAATTGCAAAGGAATCTACATTATAGCATAGGTAACCATTATCAGGGCTATTAATTTTACATCATAGCATAGGAAACCGGTATTAGGGCTATTAATTTTACTAGCTCATTGGTTTTTAACTAAATTTTCTTCGTTCCTATGCTATCATGTAATTTATTAGAAATCAACAAAATTACGAAAAATATGAATTATATTAATTTTCTTTCTAGACATTGTGAATTCCATAATAGGCACTCAGGAAAAATAAGTAGCAAGGTGGAAGAAGATGTTGGTAATTACATTTTAGATAATAAAGAGAGTCCTACAAGGCAAGTAAAAAATGTTCAATATCTATCTTCTTCTATTGAAAGCACAATCATGTTGTTGCACTTTCAGCTTGATCATTCAAATCATATATACCGAAAAAACCGTTTCCTTCTTTTTTTATCAACATAAATCCGAAGGTGTTCAAGTGTGAAACTTATCTACTATCCAAAACATTCAAACTTCTTATCCTAGTCATCCTTATAAAGTCTTACAACCCTTTGCACCAATTCATTGTGAATTATGGGGCTATCTTGGGTGAATAATATGTCAGGTACAAGATGATTATATTATTCATTGTTGACCACATTAAAGCCACTTAGATCTTTCTAATGATGGATAAATTTGAAACCAATTCCATTTTGCAAAAATTTCACTCCTTTACAGGGACCCAATTCCAAACATAAATTGAAAGAAATTCTTTTAGACCAACAGAAAGAAAGAATATTTTCGTTTGATTTTTGCAAAATAAATCCTCCAACAAGGAATTGTTCACCAAATTACTTGCATTCAAACTCCTCAACCAAATAGGATAGCCCAAGGAAAAATAGATATGTTTTGGAGGTTGCTCAATCAATTATGGTCACCAGCAAAGCTGCTTCATATCTCAATTATTGAATACCATTACGACTTCTAAAATTAAAAAAAAATTTAGCAAACCCTCACCCATGCTTATCTGATAAATAGACTCATTTCCACTATTTCTATCAAAGTGTTCGCCTACTTTGCTTTTGTACACCTTCCTCATAAAAATAATAAATTAGACCAAAAATGCATTAAATGCTTTTTAATTAGTTATTCCTCATCTTCAAGGATACAAATATTATTCTGCCATTACTAAAAAATTATACACCACCAGGAAATAACCTTCTTTAAAAATCAATCCATCTTCGATAAATCTCACATTCAAGAGGGGAACATCAACTCTGTGAATATGAATTTTGTAATAATAATATCAATCTCAACTTGTTCATATTACAACATATACCTCTTCCAAACCTATTTGAATCACAGCCATTGAAACTCAACACTTTGAAAATCACATATAAGGACCAAGGTACAAAAAGGCTATCAATTCGTGATGACAAAAAATTCAACTGCAAGATACAACAAGCCTTTATCTCACTAAGTGGGGTAGACTACATAAATCTTTTTTCTCCATTGTGTCCCATTGAGTGTCATATTTTCATTTAATTCTAACAGATTAAGATGATTTTTTTTACAATATGCCTAAGTTTTTTTATGTATACCTTTGCTTTCTTAATATAAGTCGAATCTAAAACATCTACTCTTCTAACTGGATCATCAGATGGTCGACAGTTAATGTGACCAAACCATCTAAGACGTTAATGTGACCAAAGTGACCAAACCATCTAAGACGACTCTCCAGGCTAAAGCTACACCAACCCTATCACGGATAAAATCATTTCATACTTTGTCTCAAAGTGTCAAGGCACTCATCCACCAAAGCATTCTCATCTAAGCAACACTTAACCTTATTTTATGGTTCTCTTTTAAAGACCAATATTTTGTGTCATACAGTTGTAGGTCTCACCATCATCTTATAAAATTTTCCTTTCAATCTAAGTGGTACTTTTTTATCACACAATAGTCCTGATGCATTCCTCCACATCAACCAACCAACTTGATTTTTATTAATACATCCCCATCTATTCACCATCACTTTGAACAATAGACCCGAGATATTCACCTTTTAATGATTTGATCACCTATAGTTACAACTCGGCCACAGAGCTACTACTACTAAAATTACATTCAATGTATTCAGTTTTAGATCTACTCAAACGAAGGCCTTTAGACTCTAACGTAGACCTCCATAATTCAATTGCAAGATAAAACAAAATATTTCTACCATGGAAAAGCAAGAAAGAAAGTGGTTGTTGCACAATTATAGAAACTTTTAGTTACATGAAAAAGCGAGAAATAATTTGTTGTTGTTGGGTAGTGTAATGGGCAAATTCAAAGTTAACCCATGAAATTTATGAAGATATGCGGTTTGTACATCTTAAAGATTTAAAAATTCCCAGAAAAGGATAAATTATAATGAGATGTGACAATTAAGCTACCATAAGCATTTGCTAAAAATCTCGTCCACCATGATATGACTAAGCATGTAGAGATTAATAGACACTTTATAAAGGAATTAAACATAAAAGTATCCAAATTAGTTATGCTCCAACAAAATAACAAACTTTTGACATTTTTACTAAAGCCTCCAACAAAATAACAAACTCTTGACATTTTTACTAAAGCCCTTAATCAATTACAATTTGACAGTCATATTTCAGGTTTGGAATAATCAATATATATTCCTCATCATGAGGGAGAAAGTAAAAATTCTAAAAAATAGAGCATCAAATTCTGCATTCAATTTCACCAATCAAGCCTCTGTCCCCTAATAGTGGCCCACCAACCTGCCTAGTGCCACTTTAGCAATTTGAAACTCATGCACCTCCTCCATCGGGTATAAATGCCCCCAACCATGGTGAAATTGAATGCCACCTCGACAATCCACTGCTCCCGCTCCTCCCATTTCGCGAATTGGCACAAACGTCTGCCGCGAAGCGAAGCTTCGGTTCGCCCCGCTCACCTGTTTCCGCTCCACTGTCGCGAGAGGTAGCGATATTCACGAAACGTCGCCAACCTCCCTTCCTGTTCGCAATAAAAGGCATCGCAGCAGCTCTCCTTCGATTTTAGGACAAGTTACGATTTTGAGTTCTTCGGGTTTCCTTAGGATAGAAGAAGAGCTCTTTGAGTTTTCTTGGGATAGAAAAAAGGAAAGTGCAGGTAGTTCCTTGCGGCAGAAGGAAGGAGAAGGAAGAAGAAGAAGATTGTTTTCCCCAGGCTTCTTCTTGGTGACTTGTGGCAGAAGAGAAATTGAATTTATTTCTCTTGTAAATTTAGGTGTATCTCGGTGTAAAGCTTCTTCGGTGTATCTCGGTATAGAGAGAGAAGAACAGAGAAAGAAGAAGAGAGAGCAACGAAGTGAGAGATTCTTCCTGTAAGTCGAGGTGATTGACTGATGCAAATTCCTCAAGTAGTAAAATCCTCTACAACTCCGTGGACGTAAGCAATTTGCCGAACCACGTAAATCTGTGTGTTCCGCTGTGGTGTTACTGTTTTCTGGTGTGAATTTTTTCTCGTTCTATTTTTCGCTTCGTTGATCGTTCTCCTGTTTGATTTAT